GGGATGAACATCTTTCCATATGAACACACAACAAAATTCGTGCCGGTAACTGAGCCAGGCAGGCAATATGAAGAGGCCCTGGGAACCGTTGTACAGTTCAATCGAGAAATTGTTTCGTTCCTTTTTTGGCGGGAGTTTTAGAGATCATTTAGCCTGAAATATTTTCGAACGCAATGATGCCATAGCAGCTGTTCTATAAATTTGTCTTTCTCTGTGCATGGAAGAGAAAATACTTTGGGATGTTCCTAGTTGATGATATATTGCATAATTTTCTTTTCAAATTCGTGAAAACAGTAAAGGCAAGTGTCGATCTATGACTCTGATATTAATTCTCTTTTGTTTTAAACAATTCAGTTACAAAGTGCTTAGCCATATAGATTAAGTAACAGCATCTTTTTTCTTTTAACGTCTTTTGAATTAATTGCCGCGGATACGCTAAAACGTAACGCATAGCGTAATTTAATAGCGTAATATAAGACGCTAATTGTGGGTCGTTAACCAAGCGCATTGACCAAGCGTGTGTATGGCGAGGTCATTACACAACCATCATGAATTAGATTCATGGGGCAATGTATGCTCCATCTTGCCCGTTGAGTAACCAATCAGCGTAGCATTTGGTTTATGTTGGCCGCTGGCGGAGTCAGCCATGTAATAAGAGACGGTTTATTAAGGTAAGGTTACTCAGGTAAAAAAACAAAAACCCTGAAAATTAATGCAAAAGACTACCGCGTAGTAACATATGGTGGTTCTTCTCTTGAATTGGAACGCACTCCTATCATCGCTATCTCACAAGCACACAGCTATTCCTTGAAAAAGTTAGCCTTTGTCCTCGCTCAGTTTGAAAACTCAGTGAACATGGGAAGCAGTTTTGACAGCGCAACCTCGAACAATGCTTTTGCCAAAGCAGAAGTCATCGCTTGGTGCAGCGCTTTTTCACTGATATCTGTGCTCATTGTCACAGGAAACCTGCTCACTATTATTCTCTTTGCCGTCAACAAAAAAGTTAGGAAAAAGTGTTTCTTTCTGGTCGTTAATATGGCATGTGCTGATCTGCTGGTTGGGGCTGTTTCTCTGCCTATTAAGATTATAACGCCATTGTTACGGGAAGAGAGGATGAGTTTGCCAGTAGCGACTTTTCTCAACATCGTTACTGTCGTCTGCTTGCAAGCCACGATAACTTTTGCTGCCTTGATATCTTTAGAAAGAGTTTATGCCACATGTTGGCCGCTTAAATACCGAACACTGTCAGGGCAAGCATACAACGTTGTAATTATTTTGGCGTGGATTTTAGTACTTCTGAGCTCTACCATACTTTCCGTGTTGAGGGTTTTTGTTTACGAGGTAGCTTATTACTCGCTTTGGGTGACGTATACCTTTACTCTCACATTCATTATTTGCGTTTGTACTCTCGGCATATGGAGAAAATTTGAAAACCGGCGTATGCCTTCACTGACACAGCAAAACAGAGCTTTACAAAGCCGACGCTTGACAAAGACCTTGATGCTCGTATCTCTTCTTGCTTTGATGTCGTGGATCCCTATAATTATTATAAACATATTAGAAGCTACAAATGTCTCAGTAAATAAGAACATTTATCTCCTGGCGGTTCTTTTAAATGTGTCCAACTGCTGTGCCAATCCCGTTGTCTACGCATTGCGAGTTTCTGAGTTCAGAAAAGCCTTTTTTAGTTCACGGAGGATGAACGCTAATGGCGGAAGAAGTAACAGGTATTCTATCTCGACTCCAGCGACACAGCTGAAATCAACAACAACTGATCTTAAGGTGTTGGATACCAAGCTCTAATCGTAAGATTTAGGGTGAGAAACCGTACAGGAACTATACATAAAATGCGGGGACACGACAAAACAAAATCTTAAACTAAGATAAAAACTTGTTTCAAAATTTAACTTATTGTTCAATGTTAAACCTTGCTTTTAATGAGTCGTACATTTTTATTCTTGTTTTTACTTTTACAAGTGTACTTTGTTGATTCAGTTGCAGTGTTAAGTTGCAAAATAAAGAATATACCTTATATTACGAACTGTGACTCGCTATTGACTTGGCTGCCTATTGATGGACGTTAAGACAGACTTTACAACATATTTCGCCTGATTTCGTAGATACATCACGTANATTCAGTTCTCAGACACGTTGCATCCTTCGCTCGATTAAAAAGGCCACCTGGCTTTGATCACAGTGGTCAAAATTTGTTGTGGACTCACGAGGCGCAGCATCCTCGGAGACCCAGGGGCTACTAGCCGGGACGAAGCGATATTTTCGGGCGAGAGTTTACTTCAAGAGCTGAAGAGCCCCTGGGAGCTTACCGAGCCAGTTCCAGAAGTGGTCAAATTCCGTCCCGCAGATTGGCCAGAAAAATATTATGAACATTGAGGTCGAGGGGAAACAAAACTCGCTGTTTCCCGCGGGGCTAGTCATTAAGTGTTTTGTTGTACCTTCCAACTCAAAAGTTGAAAAAAAGAACTGCGAAGAAATTGTTTGCTTTACGCCGGCTGGCTCACAAATTTGCCGCGCTTTAAAGGAGCACGACCTGATCACGTGCGAGTCGAAAGTTCATGTTGTTGTCTCCCTAAGGAGTTAGTGAGTTTTGTTCGTCCGAGGGAGTTAGTGAGTTTTAACCCACGACACGTGACACGCTTTCCTCCAATCGGAAAACGTATTTGAGTCGGGAGGTATAGCAAAACATTTTGACCACTAAGATGACGCGTATCGTTGCCGATAAGAGTACAGACCACGCTACACCACATTCGATTTGTTAAATATTAGGTAGAAATAGTAGAAATCCGCTGTCCTGTGCTTTGTATGAGCGCTTATCCGGGACTTTTAGCTAGAAAACATCGAGAGGGAGCTTTAAGCGGCTATTTTGGATGATGGTTGAGGAGATTCGAACAGGTTTTTTGCGGTTTAGCGTGTTAGAAGCGCAACGATGTAGGATAATTTTCTGACACGTTTTCAAGGTGGGTGAAGAACTTTTGTTTTTTACACCCTCGAGCTCGTCATTGATTGAATCGAAGTGCTGCTATTTGAAAGTTTCGAGTAACAGTTACGAGGACTTAAAGCAAGTGCCAAAGTTCTTCAAACTACTGAAGACGGCCGAGCGCTTTATCTGTACAGTATTAAACTCTCAGTAATTTTTATAATTTTACTGAACTGCTTTGATTTCATTTTTCAACAGAAAATGGCGCAAAAGAGAAGTTCCATTGTTAAACCGGTAGCTAGAATCATGGCATTTCAAAGTGACTAACATTGGCTTGCCACTGTAATAAGCTTTAATGATTGCAAATAATCTATGGATATGATGGTCTTAAATCCCGCCATTTGTTACACGTCCCATCAGACAAAGAAAACAACTTTCTAAAGGACAACATGCCACAATAAATCCGTTCAATTTAAAACGTGCCCATCATCTCCTTCCAATGTATGCGAACAAACTAAGCTTAATCCGGCTTCTTTTAAGCAACTTAGAGGTATACACATCAGGGCGGAAAT